CTCCCAGCCCCGACGCAACGCCCCGCACCCCCGGCCCAAAAAGCGGAGCCTGTCCTCCCTCCCTGGGCAGGGGACAAGTCCGCTGCACAACCAGCGGCCGCTGTCTGTCCCTTCTTCCATGACCTCCCGGCAGCTCCGTCCTGCCTCACCTCACCATCACAGCTCTTGGGAAAGCAGCTCGGCGAAAAGAGAAGGTGCTCCAGCTCCTCATAACCACAAGCGATATGTCCATCCCTGGGCGCCTCCAAGGAGCAGGGCCAGCGGGGCAGGTGAGGCAAGGGGTGAGAAATGGAGGGGAAACACAAACCGGGTTGGGAAGCACGCTGAGAGCTACCCTGGCCCACGGCACGCTGCCAGCGCTGAAGGAGAGCCTTGTAATTACTGAGGTGCGGCATGCAAAGCAGCTGAACGGGAGCATCCACGGGGCAGGTCTCCACACCAAGCAGATGCTCAGGCTGGGTACGCGCAGAGGGTCGCAGCCCACCCTGGAGCACCAAAAGCGGAGCGAAGGATACAGGGTCTCACCCCGTTCATCTGTGCTAACGCTGTGCCCAGATTGCACCTCCTGGACGTGCCAACTGCTGCACAGCCCCGGGCAGGGCAGGGGGCTGGGGGCTGGCAGGGGCTGGATGGAGGGTGGGGGGGGGTGGCTGGCAGGGGCTGGATGGAGGCTGGCAGGAGCAAACAGCTCTGGTCTGGGAGGAGTGAGGCAAGGATGATACAGGTAAGGGGGTGGGAGATGCCGTGGGAGCTCCTCTGTAAGAGCATTGACTTGAAGGAGTAGGATGGGTTTATCAGCCAGGGAAGCCATCCAAAGCCTTCCTAGCCCTCCCTGCCGAGGTCCTGCAGCGTTAATGGATGTGCATTTCCCTATTGATTGCAATGGTGATGTGCTTCAGCTGGTGGAGCTTTGGCTGGGACCTGACCCTGCAGCTGTGGACCTTGTGCAGGGCTGGGGACACAGGCTTCAGGCAGTTTTATACCCCGAGGAGGGACACCTGCACAGACCTCCATCCGACTTCCTTGGAGCACGTTGCCTGCGTGCCCCGTCCCAGGATCCACAATCCATGTGGCACATCACAGCCTCCTGGGAATTTTAAGATAACTTTCTGCCATCCCCACCGGCTGGCATCCCTCCAGGCACACCGACTTCTCCAGCCCAGGCCTTGGCTCCCAGGGAGCAGCCACAGAACCGGTCCCAGGGGTGTTCCCTGAGGCTGGCACAATGCCTGGG